AAATCCCACTAGTAATTTGGTTTCCATGACATAATAGAAAAATTATTCTCTTAGATACTGTTAGCTAAGATTTTTTAAGCAAATTTATTTTACGATTATAAAAGAGTTATAAAAATATTATAACATCTTGGAAAAGAGGGAAAAGCACTGCATATCCCACCTATCAAACATGAGCCTGTTCTCTAAGGCCTTGCTACTTAGAGTGTAGTCTGGGCCAGAATTATCTGCATCAGCTAGAAGCTTGTTGAATATGAAAAACATCAGGTCCATCTCAAACTGATTTAATCAGAATATGATTGATTTACATATTAATTTCTGAAAAGCACTGCTCTAAGACACTACTTACAGCCCAACAGAGCATGACATTCACCAAGAGCATTTACCAGGCATCTACCTCCTTCCAATAAATATTGAGCACCTGCTATATGCCAAGTTCTGTACTAGATACTGTGTTTTTATCTGCTAGATATTTTCCAGGACTGACTCAGGAATATATGGAAAAAGTGTTGCCCTCTTTTTGAATTGTTTCCTTAGGCAAATCAAGTAACTGTAAATTTAAAAGCTGCCAATTTCAGACAGGTGCAAATCATCTCATTCTGAAGTGGTTCTACTTGCTTTCAAGTTCTCAGTGATGTTGCTAAGTCTCTAAAGTTTGATGCTTTCTAAATATTGCTCATTCCTTTCATTAACAGCTGAAAAATAAAGGGGAAAAAGGCACTAAAATTAACATTTCACAGTAAAGCCTAAAGAATACATTGTGTTTGCCTTAGACAGCTTCCATAAAGTTTATGTTTGGAAATTTGGGGCTAAAGGGAAGCCTTGAAAGTTGGCACTTTAAAAATAAATCTTAAGATATTACTTCACAGAGTCATTTTTCTAGGGGAGTGGGTGGGAAGAAAAAAAAAAACATTGATGCAAAGAGCTAGGTGACATACTCCCAATATCCTGTGGTGTACTTGAAAACAAAGAATACTATGTTTATACCAAAGAACCCTTTTAAGCATAAGAAGATATATGAAAAATATTACATACAGGTGATACTTGACATACAAGTGATACTCCTCCAGACCAAACCAAACAAACAAAATGGGAATATTATGCAGCAAACTAGGTTTAAATGAATGTTAAGAATAGCCTGAAAGAGGAAATTTTAATAAGATGTCAAAAGCAGCCACTACGCAGCAGGAGTTATGTGTATAGAAAGGTGGTTTGCGGCCGGGCGCAGTGGCTCACGCCTGTAATCCCAGCACTTTGGGAGGCCGAGGCGGGTGGATCACGAGGTCAAGAGATCAAGACCATCCTGATCAACACGGTGAAACCCCGTCTCTACTAAAAAAAGAAATACAAAAAATCAGCTGGGCATGGTGGTGCATGCCTGTAATCCCAGCTACTCAGGAGGCTGAGGCAGGAGAATTGCCTGAACCCAGGAGGCGGAAGTTGCGGTGAGCCGAGATCGCGCCATTGCACTCCAGCCTGGGTAACAAGAGCGAAAACGCCGTCTCAAAAAAAAAAAAAAAAAGAAAGAAAGGTGGTTTGGGGCGGGGTAGATGAGGTGGGGCCATTTGGTGATTAAATGCGAGCTGACCTACAGATCTGTATATGAGCCTTCAGTCTGGTCTTAGCCCAGGCGGCCGCTTGCTTTTCCCATAAGGTCTTCCTGAGTTACTGAGGACCTGCCTGGCCTGAAGCCCCTCTGGGACCCTACCATCAAGACCAGGGTGCTTTTCTTGATTTGTCTGTTTGCCAAGATGTCCCTGTGATGTTCATGTGCAAAGTCCTCAGATCAGCAGAGACCTCGTATTTTCCTCCTATTACAGAAAAGTACCATTTGAAGGAGTAGGGAACACTGTAGAAAGCAGGGAAATGGGTTTGTGTGCCTTTGAGCCTCCATACTAGCAGGCCTCATTCCAAAACAGGATTTCCAATAGTGCCACCACATTCAGCTCCCTGAATGCTTCCAGACTTTCATTTCATCTGTTCAAGGGAATTATATCAGCAACTCTCCCTTCCTGGTGGGGGTACTGTGAAGAGCAAATGGGACAAGGAATTTGAAAGAAGGTTCCAAACAACAGGACAATACAAATATGCTTCATTACTGCCTCCTCTGTAAAACGGGAATAACGGCAGGGAACTGCTGCGCAGTGATGTGTAGGTGAAGTTTAATTATGTAATGCCTGGGAACTAGCCCTGGAGAACACTGGGAAATAGATTTTACTGAAGTAAAGCCCCCGGTAAACAGCTACAGATACCTCCTTGTGTTTGTAGACACGTTCTCTGGATAGGTTGAGGCCTTCCCCACTAGGTCTGAGACCGCTTTAGTGGTCACAAAAAACTCCTACAGGACTTGGTCCCTTGATTCGGCCTGCCCTTAATGCTACGATCGGACAATGGGCCAGCCTTCACGGCACAAATTTCTCAGAGCCTAGCCAAGGAAATTACACTGTGCCTATCGTCCCCAGAGTTCAGGACAGGTCGCGCGGATGAACTGGACCTTAAAAGAAACCCTAACAAAGTTTATCCTAGAGACCAGTGAAAACTGGGTCAGCCTGTCTCCTTCTGTCCTCCTCCGTGTCCGATGCACCCCCTATCAGAAAGGTTTCTCCCCCTTTGAAATCATGTTTGGCAGGCCTCCTCCCTACTCCCCAAACCCGCGGATACCGAGCAGGCAGAAATCCTTAACAGTACACGCCTTAAGTCCTTACAGGTGCTCCACTCTGTCCAATCCCAGGTGCACCAGATCATCAGAGACACTCGTCCCACACCAGTGGGCCTCACGGACCAACCAACACATTCCTTCCAGCCTGGAGACTCAGTCCTAGTTAAAAGATTCACCACCTCTGGCCTCACCCCCCGTTGGAGAGGACCCTACATGGTTATCCTGACCACCCCCACCGCACTCAAAGTGGACGGACGAACAGCTTGGATTCACCACACCCACGCCAAGACTGCCCCACCAGAAGAACAACGGAGTGTCGACCACACATCCCCGGACCTGCTAAAGCTAAGACTTGTACGCTCTTCGCAGCCACCACCCTTGCCTCCCTAACCCATGTTGTAAATTCCCATGGCAGATCCCCCCCACTCTTAGAGCCTACTTACTTTCAATAGGTACGTACTGAAGGCTCCACTGGAGAATATGTGAGTGCTCGAACAGGCATGGATCCACCCTAGTCAACTCTACCCTTGAGCATTCCCCAAAAAGCCCCGTAACCTTCTTCCTAGATCTTTGTGATATTGTAGGCCCAAGCTTAAAAAACCTCCATCTGAATCACTCCCTATCATGCCTCATGCAGGACCTATAATTTCACGCAAAATAAAGAAAAATAGTTGGGGCTGTGGTAGTACACAGCAGGAAGAAGTTCTCCAGGGAAAGGGTCTTTACCTACACCCAGGCTCTGCTAGCCAACAGAGATGGAACTGTAAAAACTTAAATGAGTGCCTTTGCCCTCACTGGGGATTTAAGACCATCTCCACTATATCAGGATACACCAAAAACATATATTCCTTCATTTCTTTCCAATGAGTGTCCTCCCCAAACCCAGGCTCTGTCGCCGGCACTTGTAACCCACCCAAAATAACTATACTCAACCCTGACAGTAGATGGAACACAGGACATACCTGGGGTATCAAACCATATGTGTCAGGATGGGACTGGGGAAATATTTTTACCATCCAGCGCACGGCCCCACCATGACCCAACCGCCCTATAGGACAAATTGCCGAAGTCATACGGCCCCCAAAACCTCTCCCCAAAACCCACAAATTCCATTCTCCTACCCTTCCTTCTCCTAACCTCACCCTTCCCACCACATCCCCATCAGTAGCAACTCTAACCATAGAAGATTTAAACCTCCTAGATATGCTGTCCTCGACACACCACCTATTTAGCCAGTCCAGCCCGAACTTGGGTGCAGACTGTTGGTTATACTGAAACTCGCAGCCACCTTTTTACACAGGCTTAGCAGCACAGCTGCCCATAACCCCCTCCAACATCCCCTGCTCTGAAACCAAGTTCCACCTGACCCTGGGAGATCTAGAAGGAAAAGGTGAATGTTATCATTCCCCTAATTATCCCCTCACTAACTCCCCATACGCTGTAATAAAACCCTTCCCTTGAGCTACAACAGAACAACCCTTTACTGCCCCAAAATCATCTTAGCTAGCCTGCACTTTCAGTCCAACTGCATTTCACTTATCAGTTCAAAAATTTCTCTGACCCCGTACTGTGCACATCCTTATACATCTTGCCCCGTGTAAATATCTACAATGGACAAGAAGGTCCTATTGTTACTAGGACTTGTGTTTGGCCCTTGAGTTGCTCAAGATAATCCAGTCAAGAGTTAATTCTGTAAAACTAATGATCCTAAGATCCCAGTATGAACCCTTAAACCAAACTGACCAAATAGTTTTAATCAAAGAATAAAAGATTTGACTCATGTACTAAATAACAGGAGGGAATGACATAGGCACAAAAAAAAAAAAAAAAAAAAGCTTAAGCACTGCCATCTTAAAGAAAAGTCACCTGGGCCCTGAGCAGAACTGTTATTATATGGTAATTCTCAGAAAATGTTATTTTCTAAGGTTAAAAATTTTCCACCATTGCCCATTCCCTTGCAACAAACAGCTTGCCTTGCACAACCCCTGAGCCCCCAGGGAACAAGGATATGGTTTTACAGCTTAAATACCTTGCTCCCACTGGGTTCGGGGCCACGGGTTGGAGAGACCTGAGTCCTCCGTGGCTGCCAGCAATAAAAACCCTGCAACTTGGCATACTTTTGTCTTGATATTGATTTTCTTTGCTCGCTCTGGTGCAACAATACAGCACCTTTCTCGGCCTCTTACTACTACATTTCTGCTGCTTCTGTGGTTTACGGAAAATGTAACCCTTTCAGTGTGTGTGTGTGAAAGAAAGAAGGAAACATTTGTGGTCGCATTGAACATCTGAGTGCTGACTGTGTGAGGGGCTGGAGGAAAGAGGACTTATCTGAGGACCGACTGACCGAAGCCTGCAAGTTTCCCCGAACGCAGCCGCTCCCGAGGCGTCTCTACGCGTCTCTACACTCACACAGGAAGACAGGAGTAACGGAGGGAGGAGCCTGGGAAGCGGGGGAGGCGTGGGAGCGGGACGGAGGGGCAGCCCGGAGGGAGCTGGCCAATCCGAGCGCGCTCCGCCAGCGACCAATCATGGGCCGCCTAGCCCGGCAAATCTGCCCGGCAGTGACGGGCGGGGCTGCCGGGAGTCGGGGTGCCGCCGGCTGCACTTCTGTGTGTCTTTCAGGAAGCCACAGGACAGGGGGCGTCTGTGCGGAGAAGCGGGGGTGGTGAGTAGCAGGCAGGCCCAGCTTGTGTACCAGCCTAGTGACATATATAGAAACATAAATCAGGGTAGAGCCGGCGCGCCCGGGGCGCGCACGTGTGTATGGACCCGCAGGCATGTCTGTACACGGGGTGGGCACCTGTCTTGTGAGGGGCTCCGGGCGTGGCTGCTCCTCGGACTTTCAGTTTTTTGTAAGATTCATGTCTTAGGGGCCTACCTTCCCCCATCTCCAGAGGGAAACGTAAGAAGTTTAACAGAGCTGGGACTGAGCAGATTAAGGGAGTGGAGCCGAGGCTGGGCCGGAGAGAGTGGGAACTGCGGGTGCTAGTGGGTAGGGATCCATCTGTTTGCCCCGTCTCCCAGCAAGAGAGGCATTTTGGAAATACTGGCGTGGCAAGCGTCGCCCTGAAACGTCCACAGAGCCCGAGAAGTGATGATCACTGAGTGAGTGGCACTGGGCTGAGACTGGCCAGTTTGTTAACGACAGGGATGCTAGCAGTTAGGAAGGCTAGGAGGAAACTCAGGATGGGGACCATCTGCTCCCCCAACCCCAGCGGGACAAAGACATCATCGGAGGTCTGCAATGCCGACTGGATGGCCTCGCTCCCCCCTCACCTCCACAACCTCCCCATTTCCAATCTGGCAATCCCAGGTATTCCTACTTGTTTCCACCGTGTTTAGTTCTGCCATTTTAGTGTTGTTAAGGGGTTGGGTTGCTTTTCTTTTGTGCTAGAAATTAATTGTCAGTGACCCCTTTTCATTTCCAAACCAAAAACTTAACACTGAAGCAGCTTCTTTAAAGAGATTTCCGTACGCTGCATCATTGGTAAAAGGACTCATGAGAATGGAAGCATCATTGTTTTTGCTTGTGGTTTTTTGTTTGTTTTTTGCTTATATTTGCTAGCCCCATTCTAAGAATATTATCCTTTTTAATGTTGTTATGTGTATGTGAGGGGTGCATTAACTTAAATCATTTGAAAGAGATATCAAAGGTAATGAATTAAAAGTCAAGAACTATTTTAGATCTGGATCAATATTTTCTTTCTCATTTATCTGACCTTGTGTATTGGATAAATAAAAAATGCATAAGCATTAGAGAATACGTTCGGAATCAGAACTGAGTATAAAGACACATTTTTGTTGTTAGAAAAGCCAGAATAGAAGATACTAACTCTCATCACCAGCAGTCACTAGGCGTGATGAGGTGGTGGTGTTTGAAGCTTTGTCTCTCTCTATATGTATGTATACAGGTGTCTGCCCGACTGATTTAGAGCTGCAGCCTTGCAAAGCACTTCTGCTCCAGCCACTGTCTCTCTGCTGGAGGTTTTATGCCTTGACATCATTTGTTAAATGTGTCCTCTTCCTTCCGCTCAGAAGGTGGTTAATGTATGATTTCTAGGGAAAGATATTTGGACAGTGAGTTTGGTCTGGTGTGCTGAGCATGTCCTACAGTGCTGCTACTGGAAAGCACTCCTAGAAGCAGGGGATGGACTGCTGCCAATTCTTTCTTTCACTTGGAGACACAACAATTGAAGTTCACCCCTAGACTACCAGACAAACTCCCAAGCATTCCCTAGACCCGTCTGGGTTTTTTTGTTTTTGTTTTTGTTTTTTTTGTTGTTGTTGTTTGTTTTGTTGTGTGTTTTTTTGAGGTTTGGTTGGTTTTTTGTTTGTTTGTTTTTGGTGGCTGAAAAGATGACCTCATGCAACTCCTGATCTTTGCTTTCTGTGCATGAGAAAGAGCAATGCTGGCTTCAAATGCAGGCTTTTCTTTACTCACCTCTTCTTTTGGATGTCTTCCAGGTTCATTGTCCTCATGGACTCAGGTTGCTTTTGAGCAAGGAGAGGGCTGCAAAATTTCTTTATAGTTATGTTACGTATGTTTTATCAGCCATTGACTACAGCTCCTTGGGAAATGCCAAATGGGCATGCTTCAGAACAGGTCTTTTCCATGTTTAATTGACGCCTGTGGAGTTGTCTCTGAAATTATGCTTGGGCCACTTTTAACATTAGTCATTTGCCTTCAGGCCTTCTAATGGAATTATTTTGTTGAGTGATAACGGCAGGTAGTATGTGTTTGCAAATAGAATGGCATCTTATGCAGGCCCTAAATGGCTGTGTCATTCAGGGCATGTCCGGGGTAGGTTGGGGCTTCCTCCTTCCTTGTTGTACTTTGGACAGCTCAAACCATAACAGCAGCTCTGCTAGTGGCTTGGCTTGGCTGTGTATTCTGCCTCTGTGACTGGAGGAAGGAACTGGGCATTTGTTCTGTGATCCATAGGATATGTTGCAGTTACTAAACTTGCTGGGGTAGCGGGGAGCAAATAGCTGGGACCTACTGCTGAAACTGGAAATTATATGATTAGCCGCCATGGGGATCACAAGATTTTTTTTACCCTGCTTTGTGAAGTCTGGTTCTGCTAAGCAAAAAGAAAAAAACAATGGCCTTGACTCCTCAACAGATGCTAAATTCACTACTATGAAATGCTATTTTCTCAGCAGTGGAAGGGACATTAAGTGTATGTATGTGTAGGCTCAAGACAGGAAAATCACATATTAAATGCTAGCCATTCATGGACTTCCCCCTACTAGTTCTCTTTTCTCTACCTTGAGCTTAATACTCACCAGATAAATACTAGCAGTCAAGTTCTATCAATCCTTGCTGAGAAACCCTGAAATATAGAAGGCATTTAAGAAATGGGGGCCGCCATCGTCCCCCCACTTCCTCTCTAACTCTTCCCTCTTATCATCCTGTGCATCATAATAGCTGTTATTTTGCCGAGCACTAGCACGCAGCACCCATTGGTGTACATTACCTCCAATCCTCATAACTCCATAAAGTGGGTATTAACATCTTCAGTTTAGAATTAAGGAAATTATTGTTCAAAGAAGTAATTTTCTCAAGATCACACAAATAGTAAGTGGTAGAACTTGTATTTAAGCCCCTGTGGAGCTGCAAAACCCAGGCACTGTCTCTGTGCCCCTGAAGGGTCCTTGGGAGTGGCAGAGCAGTGGAGTAGTCCCTAACTGAAAGCCAGTTTCTTCAGACCATCCTCTGCAGTGAATGAAAGAGATTTTCAAAGCAAGTGGCATTAATCTAAGTGATTATCACTTCGAATATATAGGTACATATATACATATTATATGTACATATATGTACATATATACATATATATACATATAGTTGTGAATTGTGATATATGTAGATATATACATATTATATATACATACATATGTACATATATACATATTATATATACATATGCCTGTTTAGAATTGGAATGCAGTAACTTTTAAATTCAGTTTGAGTGCTTCAACCTGTTTTGCATGTGTGTGGGGGGGGGCGCATGTGTGTGTGTGTGTGTGTGTGTGCGCGCACGCCCACATGCCCAATCTGGGACATCTATAGGTCAGAGTCAGATCTATCAGGATGGTGATAGGGCAGCGAGGACATAGAAAAGGGGAGGGAAAAGATAAGCCTTCTGGCAATAATAGCAGAACTGAGATGGAGTAAACTATGTCACATTTGAGTGCACCTGCTGCATTTGCCTGTCATGATGGGAGAGAACATGTGTGAATGTGCACCTCTCAACAGAGCCTTGGTGTATTATTTTACTTCCGCAACTGTTAAGAACACCTGTTAATGACCAGTACCAACAAACATATTAAAATATCTTGGAGAAGAAACTCAAAATAATTCTCATTGCTGTCTGTATAGAATCATTTGATGTCTGAAGGATAAAGGATCCAGACATCACAAAAGTCAAACTTTTTAATTAAAGCTTTAAACTCTACAACATTTTCACTGATGTTTGTGAAAGCATGATATTCTCTGTGGACAAATGGACTAATGGGAAAAACATTTCTCTATAATGTATACTGCTTTTCAATAAATTGTTTTCTCTGTACATTTTAATGCTATTCCATTTTTTTTTAAATGCACTCTTTCTTTCTTATTAAAGGTAAACTAGTTGGTTTACACTTGGGGAAGCTTCTATTGGGAAGAGCCTTGAACTTAAGGGTTGTGAAACTTATTGTTGATTCTTGCCATGTAATATTGAAGTATTCAAATTTCTCAGGACATAGTTTCTTCATTTGTAATTAAGATATTGGGTTAAATTAAATATAGAATCCTTTCCAGATTAAAAATTATATGATTAATTTGAGTTTTTTTGTTTTATTTTGTTGCCTGTTCTTTGTCCAATGTAGAAAGAGCTGGAAGGAATGACTGGGTCATTTTAGGTCTAAAAGCTATTTGTTGTATGCCTCTTCAAAACAAGAAAATGTACAAACAAGGATTCACAATTGCCAGAAGGAAGCAGGGTCTATTCACTTTAGCCTCTTAAAAGGGGCTGTAGATTACTTAATGTAAATGAACTTTTACCTCACCAGACCCTAAGTGCACTTTAAGAAACCTCTATAGATATATAGATATAGATATAGATCTGTATATATGTACCTTCATCATACAGTTTTTTTTAAAAAAAGCAAAGTAATTAGAAAAAATTTTAAATCAGAAACACAAATAACACATTACGGAAGCACACAGAATGGAAAGACTAATTCCAACTTCTGGAATTTGGAATTAATTAAGAACTACCTTGTTGAGACAATATCATTTGATCTAGAATTTGAGGAGTGGTCAGGACTTCAAGGGATATGGCTTGAGGGTCAGGGTTGGGAAGGGGGATTTCCAGGTGGAATTAACCAATTGAGCTTGTAAATGGGGGTATGTGAGGGAACTGGCTAGAGGACACCGTCTCTGGTCCCTCTATATCCCTGTTACAG